ATGTAAAGTTCTCATTGCTCATAAACCAATACAGACACCCTAGCATACCACACTGAGTGATTCATTGACTCTGAGTCATTCCCTGTGTGCCCTATTAAAACATTACTCATGCAGTGTTAGTAATGCAGGCCCACCTGTTCACAGTGTGCAGGATCATGTGCTGCTGGGGTTTGGTTCAGTAAACCTCGTTTAAAACTTCTGGACTGTTTTCTATCCATCAGATCCTGATGTACTCAACTTGCTGTCACTACTGAGAGAGGTGCTGTGTGAGGGATTACCGAACCTCACCCCCGTCCATCGACATGACTTCACCAGGTATCTCACAGACACCTGCATCACACGGCGGAAGCTTTTCCAGGCGGTGGTCGATGGAGCTGCTAACGTGTCTGTCACTCAGCTACACTTGGAGGTGGAACTGCCAGCCACACCCCCTCCCTTAGCAAAGGTAAGGAGGCCTCTTTAAGTGGCGGCTAGCGAACGTGCACTGCATAATCATCATGCAGATTCAGGGCTGCTATCTGATGGTACTGGAATCCATTTAATATGTCCCAATTTGTTTCAAACTTAGAAAATGACTCCTTTTTACTGCAGGGCGTCGATCTGCAAGAGTGGGAAAGTCAGCAGCATGAAGCAAGTCTCACTTCAACCTTGGAGCAGAAGGAAAATGAGCTGAGGTGTTTGAGACAGGGGTCACGGGTCAGTCTGGAGGACATCACTCTTCCAGAGGATAAGCATCTGGATAAACAGGTTCATGTTCCCTAACCCTAATATCTAATCATGCAGTGTGCTACGACAATATGTGGTTTTTGTGTTTTAAATCTTTTTCTCCTAGACAAAAAATATTTTTTTCTAAACCAGCCCTTTTTTTTAATACTCTCCAAAACATAGGATTATGGTTACGCTAGCTGAGGTACTTCCCTTAGTGAAATTATTTGGACTGACTGACTGTCACTGTTTTTGGCTCCCCAAGTAGGGCATTGTGGAGTTGGTTCGTGCAGCAGTGAGGGCTACCGAGAGCCAGATAGTGGCAAGCCTAGTCCAAGAGGCCGATCTGCTCAGTGAGATCCTGCAGCTGAAACTGCAGCAGGGGGCTCTGGCCACTGGGAGGCACAACAATACTTCTCCTACCAATACAGAGACAACTGCAAAGGTACAAACTGCCAAAACTAAAACAGGAGGGATGGCGTCTGGAAAAGCAGAGAGCAGGAAGTCAGTGAATAAACATGATCAGAAGTAAGAATGTTGAACCATTTAGTAACAGTCACAGTTTCAGCTAACTGTGTTACTTTTGGATGCTCAAGCTTGTATTATCATTATTATTTTTATTACTGCACTTCTTATATTTATAATTTGAAGATTTCTGTATTTCAAATGTATCCCTTAACACTTGTTATGTCATATTTGATACATGAGTTTGTGAGTTTTTAAACTTCTACATGATCGGTGTAATCCCACTCTCCTCAAAAAAACTGAATAAGTTGCACATTTTTAGCAACAAATTGCAAAAAAGAAACCTGGATGTAATGAATACACATTAAACAAATGAAAACTCATATGTGCAAATATATGAGCCCATATATATGTGGGGTTTTTTGTTCTTCCCATGTACTGTGGCTTCCTCCCACAGTCTAGAGATGTGCAATCAGTGGGGTTATTTGGTGATTTTAATTTGCCAATAGGTGGAAATGTGAGTGTGAATAATTGTCTGTCTCTAAGCAGAAGAGAATGGATGGATATGCAAATTAATATTTCATTGTAGAAATGAGCAGAAGGTTCAATAAAGACCTTCTGGTTATAAAATTTTAAAGAAATTACAATTTTCTACTAATTATCTCATGATTTAGGCTTTAAAGGGTAAAAAGCAAGTTTCACAGCCACAGCAACATGGTTACCATGAACTGTATATAAAAATGGACATAGCCAATGTGACGCCACTGGTTGGTTTCTAGACTCCACATTTTGAAGCCAGGGTTAGCTTTTTGGCTTCTGCAAGGTTGCTTTTCTCCAGACAGACATGACCATAACTGGGTGGAATGTTAAGATGTCAGCTAGCATTAGCAAGCTTAGTTAGCAACACAGACACCTAATGCTAACACCTAAAAAGACTTTTAACTTGGTAACTTTTACTCTCAATTTCTAGTTGTTGTGTTAAGAGATACATTTGGTTATTTTTCCTTTTATTATGTTGTCAAAGGAGCTTGCAAAGAAAAGCGTCTGGACTTCTTTAAGTTACTTGAAGACGTTTCACCTCTCATCC